CTGGTCTACCTACTAGTCTGGCCACCTGGTCTACCTGTTAGTTTGGTTATCTGGTCTACCTATTAGTTTATCCATCTGGTCTACCTACTAGNAGTCTACCTTCTGGCTGGGCCACCATGTCTACCTTCAGGCTAGGTCATCCGGTCTACCTCCTAATTTGTTGACCCGGTCTACCTACTAGTTTAGCCATCTGGTTTACCTACTAGTCTGGCCATCTGGTTTACCTACTACTTTGGCCACCTGGTCTACCTACTAGCCTGGCCACCTGGTCTACCTACTAGTCTGGCCACCTGGNCTTTAGCCATCTGGTTTACCTACTAGTCTGGCCACCTGGTCTACCGACTACTTTGGCCACCTGATCTACCTACTAGCCTGGCCACCTGGTCTACCTACTAGTCTGGCCACCTGGTCTACCTACTAGTTTAGCCATCTGGTCTACCTACTAGTTTAGCTACCTGGTCTACCTACTAGTTTGGCCAACTGGTCTACCTACTAGTTTAGCCACCTGGTCTACCTACTAGTTTGGCCATCTGGTCTACCTACTAGTCTGGCCACCTGGTCTACCTACTAGTTTGGCCACCTGGTCTACCTACTACTTTGGCCACCTGGTCTACCTACTAGTTTAGCTACGTGGTCTACCTACTACTTTGGCCACCTGGTCTACGTACTAGTTTGGCCACCTGGTCTACCTTCTCTAAGTACAGCAAGGTGACTTTACTTCAGCCCCACCCTCCTGGAAGTAGAGTAACTACAACAAAGGTCTTAAATTTCCTGAAGACAGGCAGGAGTGGAATAAAAAGGGCAGTTTCCTGCTCTCAGGCACACCTGGGCTCAGAGGGGATCAGCAAACTGCATTTGGGCTGGCCCCAGAGCCCTGTGCTAAGTCAGCACCCTTGTCGGCATCAACAAGCCTGGGAAAGCCAGGGATCAAACTCTGGCATCCACCTGGAGGCGGCAGTGATGAAGGAAGCCCGGAGGAGTTGGTGACTTACCTTACACTCACAGCCCATCTGGTACCTGTGGTTCAGGCTTTTCTTCTGGGTGGTGCTCAGGGTGTCCCAGGGCACAATGAAGTCACAGAGGGTGATGTGCATCTTGCCGTTGCCCTCAGCCTTTCCTGAGGAGAGACAAGGACCACCGGGCTCAGCGCAGGTACAAGCTGTCTGCTTCCTTCTGCCCACCTCCTGCATCCGGGTGCAGCCCAGGCATGTGGAAGTTTAGTTCTCACAGCACTGTGTGTTATGGGCTGAGTCATGTCCCCCAAATTCATAGGATGAAGCCCTAACCCCCGGCACCTCAGTGTGTGGCTGTATTTGGAGAGAAGGTCTTTAAAGAGGTGAACTGGTTAAAATGAGGTCACTGGGTGGGCTTGGATCCAAACTGACCCGTGTCCTTATGAGGTCATCAGGACAGACACACACAGAGGGATGACCCTGTGAGGACACAGGGAGAGGCCAGCCGTCTACACACCAAGGAGCAGGCCTCTTTTATGTGCATGTGTTGACATAAAAGATCAGGTTGTAGGTAGATTATACTGTTTCCTGCTTTATTTTTTTCAGCAAATTTTTATCCATCTGCTGTTGAACTTGGAATTCTGGGTTTTTCAGTACGAAGAGCCAATGCATGGAATTCTATGAAACTGGAAGTCAGCTCCGAACTCCCTTCTTTGGGATGACAAGGCGCTGCTGGTCTCTGGGACCTTAGGTTCCCAACTCATCTCCCTTCCTGCCTTTGCTGAAGAGCTCACGCTGGCGGTGGCCTTGGCTTAAGCCCAGCAGGAGGAAGACAAACAGGTGCACTCTGGCGAATGACAGAGCCTAGCAAGGGCCAGGGAGGTCATTTAAAACTTCATCCCTTCTGCTAGGATGGCACCTTGTCAAGAGACAACAAATACCCAGCAATGAGCACAGGAGCCTGGGGCTGCCCCCTGAGCACCTGCGTGCAAAGGTCCTGTGTTCCCAGCTCAGCGACCTCAGGCACAGCGCTGGCCGCGGAGAATCCGCTAATAGAAACATGCTCAGGGAAGGAACGCATCCCCGTCATGCGGAAATGAAGTCGCCAGGGGACTGTCAGGATCAGCCGGCCTGAGGCTGCGAGGGGGCACAGTGACACCCTGTGTGCTGGGCAGGTTTGCCGGGAGCCCTCTCTCCTAGGCTCTCGCCTGTTTTTAACCGCTCCTTAGCTTCAGGGACCCTATTCCTCCTTGTGTCTGTGTGGACTTGTCTGACGTTGATCAGGAAGCAGGGTTACCGCTCTAGCATTTATTCCGAATGCTATTGACTGAAAAGGAGAAGTTTGGGCGGCATTCAACACTTCAAGGAGAGTTATTTGACTTTTCTCCTAGACTTGCAGCCACTTTCTGTGAGCCGAGAGTATCTGAGGCAGGCGCGTAACTGGCAGGTGGCACCTGACTTACTCCCGTACCCCGGTTTCCTCCGCTTTCCGGCCAGAACCTCGCGCTGCAGCCCCACCCCGCCC